ATTTAATCCCCTTTATTTTTCCCCCCCCTGAAAATCTCCACCCCCTTCACTTTGTTTTTGCTTAGGGCCAACATCCAAAATTCTTTTCATTTCTAACATCAGCAATCATCGTTTTTTGTCATCCCCAAATACATCCCGCCCCCATTTAAGCAAAACCCCGTTTTTTAAAGGGTTTTTCCCCTTCCTTTTTTTTTGTAATTGTATACAGGGAAGGGGGGTTTTTTCTAGCCCCCTTGCTCCCGGATTTTTGTGCCTCCCCTACGACACGCCCTGGGGTTACGGAGGGAAAAATTCTTTTCCCCCTTCCCCCTGGAAAATAGAAAAAATAAAAAAAAACAAGAGCTATTTTTGAAAAAGGAGGAAAAAAACCCAGATTTTTTTAAAATTTTCCCCCGGGCGGGGTTTTGGCCCAAAAAGGAAAAAAAACAAGTTTTTTCCCCTTTTTTCAAGGGGTTTATAAACAGGGGAAAAAAAACCAGCCCCTTGCCTCCGGATTTTGTTTTCAAATCCATTTGGGTTGGAGGAAAATTCCCCGGGGGTTTTTCCCCCCCCATAATAAAAAATTAAAAAATAAAAATAAAAGAAATGGAAAACCCCCGGGGGGTTTTTAAAAGGTTTTTTAAAGTAAGTTATAACCCAAAATTTAAAATTGACAAAAAAAACCCAATTTTAAAGAAAAAAAGGGAAAAATAAAAAAAAAAAATTAAAAGGTTTCTTTTAAATTATGGTGGTGGTAGACCTCCCAGGGGGTTTCCAACCATACCAAAAAAAAAAGGATGGGGGTTAATATACAAACCTTTTGGAAAAAATTTTCAACCCAAAAAATTTTTGGGGGTAAAAGAAAATGTTTTTAATGGAAAAAAAAAGAAAAATTAACTGGAAAAAATTAATTTTTTTTTAAATAAAATTTTAGTGGGGGGTTTTGAATTTTTTCCCCAAAAAATAAAAAATAAAATTTTTTTTCATTCACAAAAATTGGACGGTAAAATTATAAATAGATTTTTAAAAGGCAAAAAAAAACCAAAAAGGGAAAAAAAAAAGTTAAAAAAATTTAAAATTGGGGAAAAGTTTTGGTTTTTAAAAAATAAAGGTAATTAAGGACCCCGGGAAAAAAATTTTTTTAAATTGGGGGAAAAAAATTAAAAAATTTGGAAAAATTTTAAATAAAAATGAATTAAAAAATAAAAAAAGGGAGTAAATAATTTTGGGGTTTTTAAAAAATTTTAGGGGTAATAAAGAAAAAAAGGAAAAAAATAAAATTCAAGCAATGGGGTTTTTAACGACAATAGTAAAATAAAAATACCTAAGTATTAAAAGTTAATTTAAAATTTTTAAAAATTAGGAAAATTGTTATTTAAATTAAAAAATTGTAAATTTAAATTTGAAAAAATTAATTTTAGGGAAAAAATTTTTTAAAAAACTAGAAAGGTTTTAATTGGACAAGGAAAATATTTCGTAAGTTTCGTATTTGAAAAAAAACCTGGGATTTTGTCATTCTCGGGGGGTTTATTTTTAATTTCAAAAGATTTTCAAAAATTTTTTTCCTTAAACAAAAATTTTTCCCAAACCCGTGTTTAACCCTTGGTTAATTTTTTAAAATTTTTACCCTTAAAGTTTTTTCGTTCCTTTTTGGGGTTTCTTTTTTTTTTGGGGAACCCCTCCCTTGGGGGAATTTGGTGAATTTTTAAAAAAAAAAATTTTCCCCTTTAACTTTTTCCGGGTTTTCCAAATTTTGGGCAAAAAACCCCTTTAAAGCTGGGGTTTAAAAAAAAAAAATGGGCCCAAAAAACCAAAACCCCAAAGGGGGGGGGTAACAAGCAATGCACAGGGGGCAACAAACCCATCACAAGTGGCAACAAACCCAAAGCCCCCGATGGAAAAAAACAATGCACAGGTGGGAACAAACTATGCCCCAGGTGGCAACAAAACAATGCACAAGGGCAACAAAAATGCACAAGTGGGGAACAATGAAAAAAAGGCCGTAATGCACAAGTGGGACCAATGCACAAGTGGGGAAAACCCACAAGTGGCAAACAAGCAAAAGTGACAAATAAAGCCCCAAGTGACCCAAAAAAAGCACAAGTGGCAAAAAAATGCACAAGTGTAAAATGCAAAGTGGTAACAATTTACAAGTTTGGGAACATTTCACAGTGGGGGAACAATGCACAAATGGCAACAGTGCAAAAAAAGGGGTAATGGGACAATGGGAAAAATGCACAAGGGCAACAATTCACAAAAGGCCCGGAATGCAAAGTGGAACAATGCACAAGTGGGGAAAAAATGTACAAGTGGGGAGTAATGCCCAAAGGCAAAAATTGCAAGTGGCAGCAATGCCCCAATGGCAAACAATGCCAAGTGGCCCAAAAAGCATAAGTGCCCCGCAATGACAAGTGGCAACAAGCCCCTAAATGGAAAAAAACTGCACAATGGCAATGCCCCAAATGGCAACAATGCACCCGGTGGCAATGATGTACGGTGGCAACAATGCAAGGTGGGGAAAAAATGCACAAATGGCCCAACCCCCACTCTACAAGTGGTTTACAAACTGTGTTTAAAACTTTTGGCCCAACCGTGAACTCCAAATTTGGAAATGGGGGAGTCTATGCGGCCCCCCGCTTTGTTGCTTGGGGATAATAATTTTTTTTTTTTAACACCCCAACCCGCCCACTGAGGCAGGGTGACCCAGAAAAAGGGAAAGAAACACTTTCACCATCATTCACACACAATTACTGTCTTTGTAGAGGTGCCCAGATACGACAGTTTAGATGCCACTCCAAACAGCCTATATCCCAAAACCCCTCCTTTAAAATGCAGGCATTGAACTTCCCACCTCCAGGACTCAAGTCTGGCTAACTGGTTTCCTTGAATCTCTTCACAAAATACTACCTTGCTCATAATATTAATAATAATAATAATAATAATCTTTATTTTTGCAAGTATATGATACAGCTGTTACAGACTTAGCTGACATCATTGGCATACTACTGTATATAGAAAGCCCCTTGTTATGCAGAGCATTTTTGGACAACTTAGGTTAATCTTGTTTCTTAGGATGCGACCCAAAATGGTCATACCATCACATGCATATCATACCTCCAGTTTTTAATTGCATCTCAAAACAAAATTCTTCTATGAGGGTAAATCATGACCCTAAATTATCGTAACTCCAGCCCATCATAACTCCAGCCCCTCGTAACTCCAGGAACCACCGCTGTATTTATTGTATCATTAACCAGTGTGCTCTTGTAGCACGTCACACTTTGTGAAGAAACCATAGTTACTTACTTGGGCCTGCATTGCTTAATACCTTTACGAGTAGAAATCTCGACATGTTGAAATTTAAACAAAAACTGTATTGTGAAAGACCATTATAAATTCTTTCCTACTTTTCTACATTTGTAACATGGGTTAATTAATAAAATATGAATGGTTAACAAATAATTAAGCCTCACTAATTTTTAATTCAGTATGACTTCCTATCATTGATTAATATCCTGGTGATAGTTTTATAGACAGTGATAATGTAATTGGATGGAGACAAGAATACCTTCAATCATCCCCGATTTTTTTTTTTTATTTACACATCGGCCATTTCCCACCAAGGCAGGGTGGCCTGAAAAAGAAAAACTTTCATCATTCATTATCATTGTTGTAGATGAATGGTTCAGAGAACCGACAAGTTGATAAATTAGACACATGTTCAACACTTGGGTATCTTTAACCCTTTGAGGGTTTTCGTCGTACTAGTACGTCTTACGCGTAGGGGTTTTTGACGTACTAGTACTCATAAATTCTAGCGGCCTCAAATCTAGTGGGAGAAAGCTGGTAGGCCTTCATATGAAAGAATGGGTCTATGTGGTCAGTGTGCACAGTCTAAAAAAAATCCTGCAGCACACAGTGCATAATGAGAAAAAAAAAACTTTGACCATTTTTTTTGAATAAATCAGCGACTTTGCAGTGTATTTTCGTATGGTATTTATTGTTGTATTCTAGTTTTCTTGGTCTCATTTTATAGAATGGAAGACATATTACAGAAATAGAGATGATTTGACTGGTTTTACAAAGAAAGGTGCCTTGAAATTGAGCTCAAAGTAGCAGAAATGTTCGATTTTTACCAAACTTCAAAAGTAAACAAATCGTGCCAAGCGTGCAATACACGTCAACTGGTGAGTCTAATATTCTTTCACAAGTGCACCAATAATATTTATACCATTTTTTACGCTAATGCAGTAGTCTGCATAACAGTAAATCTTATATTTTTTGTGAAAATAAAAATTCAAAGTGGAAAGCAAAAGAATATAAGAGGGGCCTTGAGACGTGAATAATGACTAGAGGAAATGTCATTTTAGTGCCAGGAATGTCTTTCTTGTTTATTCTGGACCCTATTCGGAAATTGGCATCTTTTGAAATTTGTGTGAAATTGGCAAAATTGCTAAATTCTGACCACTGTACTGGATAGTTGAATTTCATAAATGAGTGGTTTCTTGCACCCATTCGATAGAAAAAATGGAGTTCTAGCGAAATATGTTTTTTGTCGACTAGTACAGTGAAATTGGCCGAAAATGGTGCTCAAAGTGGGCAAAATCGCCGATGCGTAAACATCGCCGAGACCGCTAACTTTGCAAGAGCATAATTCCGTAAGTTTTCTATCAAATTTCAAACTTTTGGTGTCTTTATGATCGGGAAAAGATTCTCTATCTTTTCATAAGAAAAAATAATTTTTTTTTTTTTTTTTAAATTTGGCCGACCCTGAGAACAAGTTTCGGAGAGGGCCTGTCGACCCTCAAAGGGTTAATTAGGAAACGTTTTGCCACACAGTGGCTTCATCAGCCCTGTTCTTCAGTATTCTCCTTTGTACGGACTGATGAAGCCACTGTGTGGCAAAACGTTTCCTCATTAAAGATACCCAAGTGTTGCACATGTTTTGAATTTATCATTATCATTGTTACAAAAAAGATAATTATAATTGTAGTATAATTTCTTCTTTTCTTTCATTATAGACCACCACCTGAGATTCCTGTGTCACTTGTGCGTGTAGTGCAGATCTTACAGTTAATGTATCACATGGCTCTTGATGCATTTGACAAAGCTATGGGTCCAACTTTCAGTCCTCCTGATATTGGGATGTCGGGGAAAGAGGTAGGTTTACTTTCCTGAACCTTGTTTACTTGTAGTATTTTCCTCTCCGGAAATTTAACATTCATTTGTATCCCATATAAATATATATAATACTGTAAAATTTCCAGTAATAATACATTTTTTAAACAATATATTAAAATCTAATGTACTATAGTACTGAAACTTCATATTAATAATTTCCTATTTCAGCCACGCCTCTTTTGATCAGTAGATATGAAGCTACTTTGTTATGTTTATTTGTGAGTGCTGTTAGAAGCTTGCTTTCACTTTGTCATTGTTCAACTCATTCCTTTTCCTTACTATTCTTGAAGTTGAATCAGCAGATTTCTTTAGCTCATCTGGATGTGTTATTTCTAATACTGCCATTTTCTTATGGAAAATATCCTATCCTTGTCTTCTCTGTTTATTCCGAGATTACAGTGGACACTCGCTTTTTGGCAGCCACGACTTTTGTGAAATCCGACTCTTGGCAACTTTCTTTTGGCAAAATATAGCCTCGTGGTTTATGATTGGCCTTGTGATTTGGCAACCGTCTGGTATGCATCCGAGCGGCATTCCAGTGTCAGCGCGCACACAAAGCCTTAGTCTACTACACCATTCACACTCAGTGTGCCATTGTTTATCAGCGAGTGACCATCATCGCACGCATTCATATGATACATTTCATAATATTCCATTCTTTTTTGTGCTTCCAGTTGCTGAATAAGTCACCATGGGCCCAAAGAAAGCTAGTGCTAGCCCTTTGGTAAAGAAAATGAGGAACGTGATTGAATTAAAGAAAGAAATCATTGTAAAATATGAAAGTGGAGTGCATGTTTCAGAGCTTGCCAGGATGTAAGGCAAACACCATTCAAGCATCACTTTGATTGTGGCGAAGAGAAAGGAAATCAAGGAAGCTGTTGTTGCAAAAGGAGTAGATATGCTGACAAAAAATGAGATTGCAATCCTTGAAGAAGTGGAGAGGTTTTTGTTGGTATGGATTACCCAAAAACAGTTAGCAGGAGATAGTGTTAAGCAGTCGATAATTTGTGGAAAGGCATGGTAGTTGCATGAGTTGCAAAAGGAAATGCCTGCAACAAGTGCTGATGTTTTGTGATTTTAAGGCCAGCGAAGGCTGGTCTGAGAGATTTAACCCCAAATCCTGATGTGTCTCCTGGTGTCGCAAAATCCCCCCCAAATTATTTTTTCTTATGAAATAGTAATAGAGAATCTTTTCCTGATTGTAATGACACCAAAAGAATGAAATTTGATGGAAAACTGACGGAATTACGCTCTCACAAAGTTAGCGTCCTCGGCGATATTTATGAATCGGCGATTTCGCCCACTTTAAGCTCTATTTTAGGCTAATTCCGTTGTCCCAGTCGACCAAACTCATAATTATTTCCTAACAACTCCATATTTTCTATCATTTAGTACAAGAAACTGCCTATTTACCGATTTCAACTACCCAATAACGTGGTCAGAAATTTGCAATTTGGCCAATTTCATGAAAATTAAAAAAATATGACAATTTCAAAATAGGGTCCAGAATGAACAATGCAGACATTCCTGGCTCTAAAATAACATTTTCTTTGTTCATCAGTCATGTCTCCAGGCCCCTATGATATTACTCTTGCTTTCTATTTTGAATTTTTATTCAAACAAAAAATAGAAGATTAACTGTTATGCAGACTACTGCAGTATTGTAATAATTGTATAAATAATGTCATCCCATTCATGACTGCATATTAGAATGGCTACCTGGGCATTTATTGGAAAATGACATCATTTGTTTACTTCTCAACTTCGGCAAAAATCAAACATTTCCCCTACTTTGAGCTCCATTTCAAGGTTCTTTTCATAGTAAAACCAAACAAAATCACCTCTATTTCTATAATATGTTTTCCATGCTATCTAATGAGACCAAGCAAATGAGAATACAACCATAAATACTATATGAAAATAGACCACAATGTCGGCATTTTAATTAAAAAAAGCGATCTGAGTTTTTTTTTCTCAGTATGCATTGTGTGCTGCAGGATTTTTTTGATATGGTGCACACTGACCACACAGACCCATTCTCTCACATGTGGGCCTACCAGCTTTCTCCTGCTTGATTTGAAGCCGCTAGAATTTATGAGTATATATACATCAAAAACAGAGGCTCGTAAGACGTATATATACAGTGGACCCCCGCATAACGATTACCTCCGAATGCGACCAATTATGTAAGTGTATTTATGTAAGTGCGTTTGTACGTGTATGTTTGGGGGTCTGAAATGGACTAATCTACTTCACAATATTCCTTATGGGAATAAATTCGGTCAGTACTGGCACCTGAACATACTTATGGAGTGAAAAAATATCGTTAACCGGGGGTCCACTGTATTACCAGAACAGTCAAAGGGTTAAGAAGCGTAGTGGCATACACAGTGTGGTAAGGCATGGCAAGGCTGCCAGTTCTGACAAAATAGCAGCTGAAAAATATGTTCAGGAATTCAAGGGGTACATAGAGACTGAACAGTTCTAGCTCCAACAAGTGCTCATTTGTGATGAAACAGGCCTGTTTTGGAAGAAAATGCCAATGAGAACCTACATCACACAGGAGGAAACAGCACTGCCTGGACACAAGCCTATGAAAGACAGGCTAACTCTCATGTTTTGTAGTAATGCTAGTAGGGATTGCAAAGTAAAGCCTTTGCTTGTGTATCACTTCGAAAATCCCAGAGTGTTCAAGAAAAACAGTGTCATCAAGGCTAATTTGTGTGTGATGTGGAAGGCTAACAGTAAGGCATGGGTCACGAGGGACATTTTCCTTGATTGGTTCAATGAAGTGTTTGGCCCCAGTGTGAAGAAATACCTCCTTGAAAATAAATTGGAACTCGAGTGCCTCCTGGTAATGGACAGTGCTCCTGCTCATCCTCCAGACTTGGAAGAGCAAATGGTGCAGGAGTTTTGTTTCATCACAGTGAAGTTCTTGTCCCCCTAATACCACTCCTCTCCTCTGGCCCATGGACCAGCAGGTCATTTCAAACTTCAAAAAAGTATACACCAAAGCATTGTCTCAAAAGTGTGTTGAATTGACCTCAAATACTGAATTGACCCTAAGAGAGTTCTGGAAAGATCACTTCAGTATCCTCCATTGCATAAACCTTGTAGGTAAGGCTTGGGAGGGCATGACGTCCAGGAATTTGAACTCTGCTTGGAGAAAATTGTGGCCAGAATGTATACAAAAGAAGGATTTTGAAGGGTTTGGGGCTAACCCTGAGGAGCCTATGCCAGTTGTGGAAAGTATTGTGGCATTGGGGAATTCCATGGGGCTGGATGTGAGTTTTGAGGATGTGGAAGAGTTGGTGGAAGACCACAATGAAGAGCTAACCAACAGACCACAGCTCAGGAAATTGCTTCAGAGGAGGAGGAAGAGAAATGGAGGATGGTGTCTTCTTCAAAGATTTAGGACATCTGTGCAATGTGGACAAAGGTGCAAACATTTATGGATGAACTTCACCCTGACAGAGCTGTTGCAGGCTGTGTTGGCAACATGTACAATGACAATGTTGTGTCCCATTTTAGGGATGTTTTAAAGAAACTCCAGAAACAGAGCTCTCTAGACAGATATTTTGTGCGACAGGGGTCCAGTGACTCAAGCTGGTCTGAGTGCCATTAAAAAACAAAGGGAAGTAACCCCAGAAAAGGACTTGGTACCTGAAGTCTTTATGGAAGGGAATTCCCCTTCCAAACACTAGTGTACCTTCATCCTCTCCCCTCCTCCCATCTTCCATCCACCCAGAAGTGTTCAATAAAGGTAAGTGTGATATTATTATTTTATATATGTATGTAGTAGGTAGTAGGTTGGTAGACAGCAACCACCCAGGGAGGTACTACTGTTCTGCCAAGTGAGTGTAAAACGAAAGCCTGTAATTGTTTTACATGATGGTAGGATTGCTGGTGTATTTTTGTCTGTCTCATAAATATGCAAGATTACAGGTACATCTTGCTACTTCTACTTACACTTAGGTCACACTAAACGTACATGTACATGTTTATTTATACACACTCATCTGAGTTTTCTTTGATTTTATCTTAGTTCTTGTTCTAATTACTTTTCCTTTTATATCCATGAGGAAGTGGAATAAGAATCTTTCCTCCATAAGCCATGCATGTTGTAAAAGTCAACTAAAATTCCGGGAACAGTGGGCTAGTAACCCCTTTTCCTGTAAAAATTACTAAAAATAATAAAAAGAAGAAAATTGTCAAAGTGGGAAGTCTGAATGTGCGTGGATGTTGTGCGAATGATAAGAAAGAGATGATTGTGGATGTTATGAATGAGAAGAAGCTGGATATCCTGGCTTTAAGTGAAACAAAGCTGAAGGGGGTGGGAGAGTTTCAGTGGAGAGGAATAAATGGGATTAGTTCAGGGGTTTCTAATAGAGTTTGAGCTAAAGAAAAAGTAGCAATAATGTTGAAGGATAAGTTATGGCAGGAAAAGAGGGACTACAAATGTATTAATTCAAGGATTATGTGGAGTAAAATAAAGGTTGGATGTGAGAAGTGGGTTATAGTAAGTGTTTCTGTACCTGGGGAAGAGAGAAGTATAGAGGAGAGAGGGAGATTTTGGGAAATATTGAGTAATTGCATGGGGAGTTTTGAACCAAGTGTGAGAGTACTTGTGGTTGGGGATTTTAATGCTAAAGTGGGAATAAATGTTGTGAAGGGAGTAGTAGGTAAATTTGGGGTGCCAGGGGTAAATGAAAATGGGGAGCCTTTAATTGAGCTATGTGTAGAAAGAGGTTTGGTAATAATACATATTTTATGAAAAAGAGGATAAATAAATATACAAGGTATAATACAGCACATAATGAAAGTAGTTTGTTAGATTATGTATTGGTGGATAAAAGGTTGATGGGTAGGCTCCAGGATGTACACGTTTATAGAGGGGCAACTGATATATTGGATCATTATCTAGTTGTAGCTACAGTTAGAGTAAGAGGTAGATGGGATAAGAGGAAAATGGCAACAAC